AGGAGTTTAGAGGGTGTAATGCTCTTGCAGAGGACTGGAGTGTAGTTCCTAGCTCATACATCACACAGTTTACGACCATTTGTAACTCCAGTGCTAGGGAATCCAATGCCCTTTCTGGCCTCTGAGGGTACCTGCACTCACATGCACATTTCTACACATAGACACAAACACATATACATAACTAAAAATGAAATGCTTTTTGAAACAGGATCTCACTATGTAGCTGGCTGGCCTGGAACTCACTACATAGACTAGGCTAGCTTTAAATTCATAGAGATCTGCCTGCCTGTGCCTCCAAAATGCTGGGATTAAAGGTGTTAGCCACTGTACTGAGCCATAAAATGAATCTTTGAAAAAAATAATAAATAAAAAATATTTTGATCTGGGTGTGGTGGCTTACCCCTGTAATTCCAGCACCTGGGAGACTGAATCAAGAGGATTGCTAGGAGGCCAGCCTGGCCTACACTGTAAGACCCTATCTAAAAAGCAAGAGTTGTTTTCTGTACTAGAATAGAAAGATGGTATAGGAGGAAATCCTCCATAGCCCTACCAGTCAAACACACAGCAATTATATGGGTGTATTTCCTTCCTACTACACTGACAAATTAGCTTAGGTGAAATGATTTCCTACTCTTCCTGCTTTCAACAAAGGAAATCTTGGTGATTTAATTTATCTCTGGGATCCATGAATTTGGACAGGTTTGAGCCCCAGCATGTCAGGAAATCCAGAAGAACCCATCAAACTTGGACCCAGTGTAGCCATCACACCATAATGCAGTGAGGGAAGAGCCAGACTCTGCCCCCTTTGCCTGCCACAAGCTTTATGATTTACCTTTCTCATGTAACTCTATGATCTTTCTCCACTTGATCTGAGGATGTGATGCAAACTCATTTTCAGGTTCATCTTTTTCTCCACGTGGATATTTAATTGCTTCAGCTACATTTATTGGAAAGATCATCCATTCTCACCATAAGCAATGTCACTTTTCACCATAAATCAAGTGACCTCCTCTGCACGGATCTATTTCTGGATTCTCGCTTCTGTTCCATTGCTCTATTTGTCAACCCTTGTGCCATTTCTACACTATATTAATTATGCTAACTTTATAATAAATCTTGATATATATTTAGTATAATCCTCCAACTTTGTTCTCTAAGATTGCTTTGGCTATTCCTGGTTCTCTGTTTCTTGCACATTTTAGAATCAGTGTGTCAGTTTCTGCCCAAAAAAATATGCTGAGACCAAAATAAGTCTGTAGGTTGATTTGGGAGTAACTGACATCTTCACAGTAGGAAATCTTCCAATCTATGAATATTCATTAATCTCTCTAAATATTTTCTATTTTTCTTTTTTAATTAATTTATTTTATATATATGAGCATTTTGCCTGCATGTATGTAAGTAAACCTGTGTCGTACAATGCTTGCGGAGGCCAGAAGAGGGGTGTCACATCCCCTGGAACTGATTTAAGGATGGTTGTTAGTTGCCATGTGGGTGTTGGGAACTGAACCCAGGTCCTCTGGAAGAGCAGCCAATGATCGCAACCCACTGAACCATCTCCCCAGCCCCATATTTTGTATTATTCGATATAAAGACCTTACACACCTTTCAGTACTTATTCTTAGATATTTGCTATTTTTATTGTAAAATGGTAAATAGTATTGTTTCATTTAATTTTTTCTTTTTAAAATGTTTTTTATTACTTTTATTTTATGTGTATGCATGTATTGCCTTTATATAGCTAAGTGCACCTGTGTCGTGCAATGCCCAGGAAGGACAGAAGAGGCTGTTAGATCCCCTGGAACTGGAGTTATGGACAGTTGTTAGTTGCCATGTGGGTGCTGGGATTTGAACCTGGGTCTTCTGTAAGAATAACCAGTGTTCTTAACCACTGATCCATCTCTCTAGCCCCATCTCTCTCTCTCTCTCTCTTTTTAAAAGATAAGATCTCATGTAGTCCAAGCTGGCCTCAAACTCACTAGGTAGCCCAGGCTAGCCTTGAATTCCTGATTCTCCTGCCTTAGCTAGGATTATATGTGTGACTACCATGCCCAGCTTTGTTTCATTTTGTATTGACTAGTTACTGGTACATAGAAATTCAACTGACTTATTTTTTATTTTTTTATTTTTTGTCTTTTTGAGACAGGGTCTCCCTGTAGCCCCAGTTGACCTGGACTCCATTGTAGGCGAGGCTGGCCTTGAACTCACAATGATCTGCCTGCCTCTGCCTCCTGAGTGCTAGGATTAAAGGCGTGCACCACCATGCCAGGCTTCAATTGACTTTTTTTATGTTCACCTTGAATTGAAGATTTTCTAAATTCACTTATCAATCCCAGTGGTTTTCAGTGGCTTTTTATGGCTTTTCTACTTTCACAATCATGCTGTCCCATGCAGAGTTAGCCTCACCACATTTTGGATGAGTCCTAGCAGGCTTCCTTTAGGTTGCATATCTCCCATGACTGGCTGATTTCTAAACCTCTGCCCCCTACTCAGAGCTTACTGCTTCTGTGGGCTTCTACCCTCCGTTAACCCTAGGCCCTTGGGCACTGGGCTGGTTTTTCTCTTTAGGTCTCTCTGAGAAGATCTTGTCCTGGAATGGCTGTTAAGGTGAATACTGGAGGGGACTGGAGTCACTGGGACTTGCTAAAGATGCCCTCCCCATGTATTCCTGCATAGGAGCCAAGAGCTAGTCATGTGGTTGCGTGTGGGAATTGGGGACAGCCTCAGTCAGTTCTGCAGCTCTAGGAAAACTTCACAGCTAAGGGGAGGCAAGCAGCTCTGCTAACTAGTCCAGGGATAGAGAGTACCCAAGAGGCTGTGGGGTAAGCCTGCTGAATGAAACAAAAGGCAGAGGCTGAGAGGGAGGTGGTCCAATTTTACCAAATTGCAAAACATCTGCATAGTAGAGTCCCAGAACCCAGAATTCAGTTATAACCCCCTGAAAAGTAAATGAGCCAAGATGGGTTTTGGCATCATTTCCAGACTTTAACCTACCCAAGTGTCTGTGTCTGAAGGCCCTGAACTTAGAGACAAAGGGAGAGAGAGAGCATGGCTAGAGAAACCATGCTTCAACCAGATAAGAAGAGTTCAAGGAAAGGAAAATATGGACCAATCTCATGCTGGGAATCTGCACACTTAGTGCTCCCTAACCTTGTGAGCTGTCCTCCATGAACACCATTGGATAGGTAAGGAACACTAAGGCTCAAAATCACTTAGGTAATTTGTTCTAAGTAACTCCAAATTAGGGAGAGTCTTATTGAGTTCCTTCAGCTTTGACTCTGCCCTAAGGGAGTATTAGAGAGACTCCTGGCCTTCTAAGAGGTATACCATGGATCCCACTGCCTTTTATGTGGAGTGGCTGGTGGGGAGGCAGTGGCTGTCTAGCTCCTGCCCTTCTGGGTGGGCACCTATTGCTTCCAAGACCTCTCAGAACCTACAAAAATGACCAGGAAAGTACTGTGTTCAGAGCAAGAGCCGTAAGAGAATATGACAGCCCTGTACACCAAGGCTTCAGATAGATGAAGCCAAGCATCCAAATAAAGATACAGGTTAAACTGTGTAAATTAGTGTGTATTTGTAGTCCCAGCTGCTCAGGAGACAGAGGCAGAGGGATCACCTCATGGAAAACATAGCAAGACCCTGTTGAGAAAGAGACAGACATATTGATTTGGACTCATTTTGCTTCTAGACATCTGATACTGGCTTTTCCATGTCACACAAGAACCAACTGAGATGCTTTGAGCCACTTCACATCTAAAGGCATTCAAGTGGGCACCCCTGACCCTGTCCTTCAATATTTAGCCCCAAGTCTGGAACTCCCCCAAGAATGACACCTGGGCAGTGGAAGCCGCTCTATTTCCCAGGTTTCCAGTTGCCCTCTCTCTAATCTAATGACATTATCTTTTGCAAACCCATGTGGTTCCTATTTATGGAGCTCAGTAGAGCTTAGGCAAACTGCAGATCAGCAAGGTGAGGGATGCAGGCTTGACCACTGAGACATTTTGTACAGTCGATATTCTGGGATTGAAGTCCACAGGAAGTAGGGCTCTCCGCCTTCTCTGGAAAACTCTGCTCACCCAGGGTGATCTTTGGCTCAGCCCTTTCTGGAATTAAGGCAAAGTACCTGGTCACCTTGAGAGAGGGCCCTTTTGCAGTTTCCTGGTCCTGTGATACCCAGTCTCAGCCTGGCAACAAACCAGCAAATTGACCTGCTGATGTTGTATGTCACAATAACACAGTCACATAGTCAGTCATCCTGGAACAAACTGGACTTGATCATGATTAACAAAATTTTAACATACTATTGGAAGCAATCTGCTAGTTTTGTTTAGACTTTGCATATATATGTTCTTTTTTGGGGCAGTTGAAATGGGGTCTTGTTATATAGCCCAAGTTGGCCTCAAACTCATAGCAATTCTCCCGCCTCAGCTTCCCAAGAACTGGGCTTACAGTTATGTGCCACCATGTCCAAGTGCTGATATTAAAGGCATGCACCATCACACTCACACTTAATATTTATGTTCTTAAGTGAGATTGGTCCATATTTTCCTTTCCTTGAACTCTTCTTATCTGGTTGAAGAATCAAGGTCTTACCCACTTTATAAAATGAGTCTGCCAGCCTTGCTCCCTCTTGCCCTTTTTTTTTTAAAATTTTTTTGTCATGGAATAATATTTATAATGGGCTTTGGGTTTTATAAAAACACACCCCCAGAGTCTGCCTCTTTAGCGGGAGACTTGGCACAAACAACACAGGAGACACCTATTTTCCTTGTTTATAGTCTGCACTGGCTTATTTATGGTGCTTTTGTTATTTCTGAGACTGTTCTGCTGGGAACTAGCCATTTCCCTGAGGAAGTTGGGAGGAGAGTGCAGGAGCCTCACACCAGGGGCAGAGGGGCTCTGCTGATGGAAGGAGGGGGAGGCCTGAGCCTGGTGCCTAGCATCTATTGAGACACCCCAAGATCTGTGGGTCCAAGTTTAGCTTGACTTTCCTCTTGTAGGCACCATGTTTCGCAAGAAGAAGAAGAAACGTCCTGAGATCTCAGCCCCACAGAACTTCCAGCACCGCCTCCACACCTCCTTTGACCCCAAGGAGGGCAAGTTCGTGGGCCTCCCCCCACAATGGCAGAACATCTTGGATACCCTGCGGCGCCCCAAACCTGTGGTGGACCCTTCCCGAATCACACGGGTGCAGCTGCAGCCCATGAAGGTAGGTGATGGGCCTAGTGCCAAGTTCAGCCTCTTCCACACCACAGGAAGCTTGTGACACCCCAGAGACACCTGGAAGAGCCACTTGGGTATCAGAATGGAGCCAGCTGTCTTAATTCCCAGCTAATCAGCCTTTCTCCCTGGGAGAGAAAGGGAGGCAGAGCCTGGGGAGTCCCTCTGTACACGGTGGTAGGGATGCTCGATTTAGCAAACAGGATAAAAGATTCCCATTTGAATTTTAAGTCAGGTATGATTCTTGCCTGTAATCCCAGTACTTGGGAGGTTGAGGCAATCATAATGCTGTGAGTTCAGGGCCAATCTGTGCTACATAGTGAGTTCCAAGTCAGCCTGGGCTACAGATTTGGACCCTGTCTCGGATAAATAAAATTGAATTTCAGTTAATAACAATTTCATGCATCTTTAGACCTGCAGCCCTGAAGGAGCTATGACTCTCACAGACCAGAAGTTCACATGGGGAGATTAAAGAGCTGAGTAGGAGTTGGGAGTCTGGAGCCCTGGCACTGTGTATATGGAGGAGGTCCCTGAATAAGCCTCCTCAGACATCTCTCTGAAGGCCAAGGGAAGAGTTCAAGTCTGAAGCTCCTCCCCTGAGCTCCTCCCAGGTGCCTCAACTCCACTCCTCCCCATAAACTCCCTGAACTCTTTAGCTCCTCTGAGCTCCTCATCTCCTCCCTTATCCCCAGCTCCTTAGCTCCTTCAGGCTCAGCTGGTCACCTGCTTGTAATGCTGGACCATAACCTAGTGGCTACTCACCTGTCTGTCCTGCTGACAAGGGCTTGTTTCCTGCATCCTTATAGACTATGCAACACAGACCTGACACACTTCAGCCCAGGCAAACGTCATGAAAACTTAATGGATGGGTGGGTGATAAAGGAAGTGTGTGGGAATTCTTCCCCAGGGCCCTCAGGGAGGCTCTGAGCCACCCCCTGCCATGAAGGGGATGCCTCCCCACACTCTTTTCTCTTCTTCCCATAGACGGTGGTACGGGGCAGCTCAGTGCCCACGGAGGGGTACATCTCAGGGCTGCTCAATGACATCCAGAAGCTGTCAGTCATCAGCTCCAACACCCTGCGTGGCCGTAGCCCCACCAGCCGACGGCGGGCACAGTCCCTGGGGCTGCTAGGGGATGAGCACTGGGTGACTGACCCAGACATGTACCTCCAGAGCCCTCAGTCTGAGCGCACTGACCCCCACGGCCTCTACCTCAGCTGCAACGGGGGCACATCAGCAGGTCACAGGCAGATGCCATGGCCTGAACCACAGAGCCCACAGGCCTTGCCCAATGGGCTGGCTGCCAAGGCACAGTCCTTGGGCCCTGCTGAGTTCCAGGGTGCCTCGCAGCGCTGCCTGCAGCTGGGTGCCTGTCTGCAGAGTTCCCCACCAGGCACCTCACCTCCCATGGCCACAGGGAGGCGTGGGATAAAGGCTGCCAAGCAAGGCTCAGAGGAAGTCCGGCCACAGTCCTGCCTGGTGGGCTCAGCCACCGGCAGGCCAGGTGGGGAAGGCAGCCCTAGCCCTAAAAGCCAGGAGAGTAGCCTCAAGCACCGGCTATTCCGAAGCATGTTCCTGTCCACTCCTGCTACGGGCCCAGCAAGCAGCAGCAAGCCAGTCCTTCCACCACAGAGCAAGGTAGGTCAAGCTGTGGCTTCCTCCTGGGGCCACTCTAAGAAGGACAGGAAGCTTGGCCTAGCAGACATCCACAAGGCGGTATACAGAGATACAGAGCTTGCCTGGCCTTCCCCACATACAGGGTGAGTGTAAGAATGTGGGAGTTCAAAGTGACCATCAAACTAGTATAGCCTCAGCTGAAGATTATATCCTCAACTACCTGAGTCCCTGTCTTCCAAACACTTTGCATGTGTGAGTCACACACTGTAAACCAGACCATTCAATAGGGTCTGAGGCACCATGGCTGACATTCCTGCTTTCTGAAGTCTGGGAAGTCCACACTGGGACTTGAAAAAGTGGGATCTTTAACCCGAAACTCAGAGCAGACCCTCAAGGCCCCAGCAAGAATATGGGCCCCAGCCTGGGAAGGGCAGGGTCTTTCTACCTCCCTCTTTTTGGGACTCTTCTGCCTCCCTCTCACATGCCTCCTGCTTCCCTAAGGACTGCAGGAGCTCTGGATACAGCTCCCCAAGGTGGAAGAGGTACACACGAAACCCCACCTCTGGTATGAGCTCTGGCTTCCCTTCCTTCTCTTCCCTATCCTTCTCCCCTCCCTCTTCTCTCTGTAGTTATTTCTTCAGTGTTTTGGGCAAAGCCTACCTTGAAGGACTCCCAAGAGACCAGAGGGATCAAGCTCCAATTCCCACTTCCCTAGTGGTATGCGCTGTCCCGCCCACTGCCCCACCGTAGTTTTTCAAGGAAAGGTTTCCTAAGGGCACTGCCTTCCAGAGTATGCTGTGAGAATCCAGAGCTGAGAACAGCAGGGCAGACATCTTTTCTGTGAGGAAGGAAAGAGAAGGGAGTCCTGGTTGGCATTTCTTGGCAGATTGGAGTATGTTTTCACTTCTCATCTGCCCTGCCACATCCTGTCACATTGACAGTAACACCTTTCCCATCTGGCAAATGAGCTCCTCAGAGTGAGCTAAACCCCTGTGAGTCAGAGAAGGAAGCAGGGCAGGCACTCACTCAGGGCTGGCATCCTATCCCAGGCCTTCCAGGTTTCTGATTCTCATGTACAAAGCTGTGCAATCATGGCAAGTAGCTGTTATCTAGCTCCGGAGAGGCAGGGTGCACATGAAGGTGTTAACCCAGGCCTAAGAAACAGCTGTTCTCAGGGGCGGAGCATCCCCTTCCCAGGGAGGACTTTGGGAATAAAATGGATCCTCTGCTGTTGGTGTAAGCGTGGTCTATCCTAGAGGATGGCCTGGACTTACAAGCTTCCCAAGTCACTTCCAGCTGAGGCACCAGGGAGGGTCCTCCACTTCATGCACTCCAGCTCCCCTCTGGGACAGAGGGCAGAGTTGAGAGTCCCATAGGGCATGGCTTAATGTGTCCATGTGAGCCAGGACACGAATACCTGTGTGTTTAACGATCACAGACCACTGTGTCCTGGGAGACATCCCCCCTAAACTAAGGTGAGGCCAAGGCATACCACTAGGAAGGTGAGAATCAGCTGATTCCTCTCTGTCCACCTGGGTGGGTTGCAGGGGGCCTAGAGAAAAGGAGTGCTGGCATTGTGCTGGGCATTGATATCATCTGTCTGGGCTGTCAGTTACACAGAAGAGGCACAGGCTTGTTCATCCTCCTTACTACTGAGAAGCCCCAAGGGCCACTGTGGCTGGGTGTGCTGGGGCACTCCCACAGTGGAAGTAGATGGTGGTTGTCTTGGGCTTAAAGACAGCACAGTTCCAAATCCAGGGGAGTGGTTCCCTTCTAGATACCTGGGCATACTTTCCAGATGAATGTTCTTGAGCCAGGCTTCTAAAAGGCAGGACTGAATCTTCCTCTGAGAGGCCAGGGCTTTGTAGCCCTGCACTGATGAGTGGCATTTGGATCAGAGAGTCCTTGTGGAGCCTGGCCTGTGCTTTGTAGCAACATCCCATGTCTGAGCCCACTAGAGGCCAGTAGCACACTCAACTGGCACAACTGAAAATGCCTAAGCAGAAAAATCACACGTAATATACACCATACACACACATATGCCACACACCCACATACTGTACACATACCACAAACACTATAAACACAATACATCAACACATACACCCCATATACACACCATATACAACATATATATCCCATATACACACCATACATATATATACCATACATATATCACATACACTGTATACTTATCATGCATATATCACACACATACCATACACACATACCACAAATCACACACACATACCATACACACATACCACAAATCACACACACACATACCATACACACATACCACAAACCACACACACACCATACATATGCCACACATATACTACATACACATACCACATTACATCACATGCACACAACATAAATAGCATACTACATACATGTTATATATACTCCATACACACACACCATACACATACACCATTCATGTACACCACATACATCACACACATATACATACCATTGAGAACCACTGCTTTAAGCAATTTCAACCTAGATGGGAAACATTAGCCTCCACCACTCACTCCAGGAACTGCAGAACCAGACAGCAGCCCTCTGCACTGGTCACAACCAGGTGCTTTCTGTGAACACTCATGTCCCCTTGATGGTTAGGCAGGTGTAGCATGGCAGAAGTTGGCCACATTGTGGTCCTCTGCTGGCAGACCACCCACACCTTCACTGTCTACATGCTAGACTCCTAGCAAAGCCAGGGCCTATGCTGGGAGTAGAGCCCTGAAGCCTGGGAGTTGGTACACAGAACCCAAAAGCCTCTGACAGGACCTAGATTCAGGGTCCCTAAGCAAGTAGCCCAAGCTGACAGCTTCAGGAGATGCCCCCTCAGCTCTGTGGCCAGGTGCAGGTCCCAGCAAATGTGGAGCCATTTACCTTTGTGACAGAAAGCTCTGTGTAGCTTCTGAAGGGTCCCTTTCCACTGCCTTTTAAAAACACAAGCTCCTTGGGAGGCCCATGAAGGGTGGGCTCCTTTCACTCTAGTGGTGGTAGGAAGGCTTGGGCTCAGAAAGGCAAGGAGCCTCATAGGCTTTCAGGGCTGGACTTCCCCTCTTCTACCTTCCCTCCTTCTCCACAGAGACCGTGGCTAGCTCCTCCCCTCCTCTAAGGGTCCTTAACCAGGAGTCTTCAAGCTTCTGTGTATAAACTCCCAAATATGCAGACTCCCTGCTGCAAGTATAAGCAAGGACCTCAGCTGTGGCTTCCTGCCCAAGTTCTGAGAGTCAGCCACACCTACCCACTGCCCTCTGCTTGGAGCCTCTTCGACCTATACCTGGAGCCTCTTCGATCTATACCAGGAGCCTCTGACCCAGCTTTCTCAGAGGAGTCTGTCTCACAGTGGCTTCCCTGGGGTTTGCCTGTCAGTTGCCCAGGAAGAAATACCCAGCCTGAGGATACCTTAGGGATTCACTGTTTTTGTCTTCCCAGGAACAGCAGACTAGGGATAAAGAGATGCTATTGAGCCTGCTCAACCGGGAGCAATGGGGCTGGTGTCCTGGTTGGCTCAGCTTCATTTGAACATCATTGCTCACTTCCTCATTGTAGTCTGAAGTCATGTATGACCTGCTAGTGTCTGGGCCACAGTGGTCACACCTACCTCTGGGAAGATTGTTCCAAATGCTCCCTGGCCACACTCTTTCTTGTCTCTTGTCTCCACAGCCCAACTCTGCTTTCCGACCACCACAGAAAGATTCACCCTCAAGCCTGGTGGCCAAGGCCCAGTCCTTGCCCTCAGACCAGCCCACGGGGACCTTCAGCCCTCTGACCACCTCAGATACCAGCAGCCCCCAGAAGTCCCTCCGCACAGCCCCAGCTGCAGGCCCACTTCCAGGCCGGTCTTCCCCGGTGGGCTCCCCCCGCACTCGGCATGCTCAGATCAGCACCAGCAATCTGTACCTGCCCCAGGACCCCACCGTGGCCAAGGGTGCCCTGGCCAGTGAGGACACAGGCATTGTGACTCATGAGCAGTTCAAGGCTGCACTCAGGATGGTGGTAGACCAGGGTGATCCCCGGCTGCTGCTGGACAGCTATGTGAAGATTGGGGAGGGCTCCACAGGCATTGTGTGCCTGGCCCGGGAAAAGCACTCTGGCCGCCAGGTGGCTGTCAAGATGATGGACCTCAGGAAGCAGCAGCGCAGGGAGCTGCTCTTTAATGAGGTGGGGAGACAGGATGGAACATTGGCAAGGCAGTAAGCATGCAGGGAGGCTGGACACCTGGGAGGCAGTGGGGTGAGAGGGGAGGGTAGCCCACCTTGGGACACTGCCAGACACTCAGGCCCCTCTCCATCCTCAGGTGGTGATCATGCGGGACTACCAGCATCTCAATGTGGTGGAAATGTACAAGAGTTACCTGGTGGGTGAGGAGCTGTGGGTGCTGATGGAGTTCCTGCAGGGCGGAGCCCTCACAGACATCATATCCCAAGTCAGGTGGGCAGCTGAAAGGGCTAGGCTGAGGGGAAACTGCCTCACCATTGCCCTAGTATGGGAATCAGCAGCCTCTGGCTCATAACACTTGAGATACCTACTTGTCTAATCATCAGGGACCCCTGCCGTTTAGGGGTAAATGAGGCTCAGGAGTCTCAGAGGAATGGAGAAGAAAATAGAAGTCCAGGGCTACAACCTGATGAGCACAGTGCCCAGGAGCTGTGGGGCCCCTTGCTTGGGACTCCCCTCCACACAGCCTAGCTACCCAGAAGCTGCGCAAGCTAACATGCTGTCCCATGGGCGGCCTGGCCTTCCCTATCCAGGCTGAATGAGGAGCAGATTGCCACTGTGTGTGAGGCTGTGCTTCAGGCCTTGGCTTACCTGCATGCCCAGGGTGTCATCCACCGGGACATCAAGAGTGACTCCATCCTGCTGACCCTTGATGGCAGGGTAGGTCCTCCCCATCTCTGACTCAGCTGTTCCCCTACTTCCCTGATCCTCTGTAGCACTCCTCCTCCTCCTGATCTCTATCTACTCACTGTTCAATTACAGGTGAAGCTCTCAGACTTTGGATTCTGTGCTCAAATCAGTAAAGATGTCCCGAAGAGAAAGTCTCTGGTGGGAACCCCATATTGGATGGCTCCTGAAGTGATCTCCAGGTCTCTGTATGCTACTGAGGTAAATATTCCTTCCATCTTCAGGTCTCCCCAGAGGCTTAGGAACATGTAGCTCTTCTGTCCTATTCCTGTGGAGCCCCCACCATTAATAACACTGATTCCCAGGCCTTCACTCAGCACCTGCAACCAACTGCTGCCTCCAGCTATGGGGCACAGTGGGAGATGGCCAGTATTCTCCATGCACGATGGCCTCTATGGTAACTAGCCACTCATTCAAAAAGGAACCGACCATGGGGCAGCTGATCAGTGGAAGAAGGAGACAGACTCACCAAGGACAGTTGGGACCAGCTGCTCCCTTCTAGCCCACTGCTACCAAGGGTCAGATCCCAGCAGTAAAATCAGGGATATTCTCCTGCAGGTGGATATCTGGTCTCTGGGCATCATGGTGATTGAGATGGTAGATGGAGAACCTCCCTATTTCAGCGACTCTCCAGTGCAAGCCATGAAAAGGCTCCGGGACAGCCCCCCACCCAAGCTGAAAAATTCTTACAAGGTCAGTTGATGTGTAAGGTGTGATCTACCAGATCCCATTTCTCCTGAGCAAGAGGATGGGAACCTAGGCTTTGTCTTTCTCCACACAAAATCTGTACCTAGTACAGAGTCCTATTTATGCCAACTCCTTTGGTCACTGCAGTAAATCCCACCTGCTGCCTGCAGCAGGGGAGTCACTCTACAGCAGGCACTTGACAGGAGCCCACAGATACCTATGAGGAAGGAGCAAAAGACCCCAGGACTCCCTGCTGCCCCAGGGAGGAATCCAAAGCAGACTGAGTTCAAAACCTTCCACCCCACATGTCAAGGGCCCCATACAGTGTAGCATTCCTGTCCATCACAGGAATCAGCTTGCATGGCACATCCTGCCCAGAGCTGACCACCTCTTTCCCCTTAAAACCAGTGCATATGCTTATTACATTTAACTCTCTCCTGCCAAATCCATCCCCTGCTGGCAGATTGGCACAGGATGGCTAAATGGCACTGCCACCTGGTGGCCAGAGCAAAAACGGTCTCAGGATTGATTGATGGTCTGTCTCTAAATGGCCCCAAGACAGGTAGTCCTTGGAAACTGTGCTTCTGACCCTGGGATGAGATGGGCTAGGAGAGCACCCATTAGCAAATTGCCCCAAAGAGGCAGCCTTCTGTAGCAACTCAGCACAGCCTCATCCCCAGGTACTGACTCAAAATGAACCAAGATAAGCCTTAGACTCTAAGGCTCAGAGCAGCAAAGAAGTCTTTCTCAGGTTCCACATCTATCCTTATCTGGATTTCAAGTACTTCCTTCCAACTTGACCTCAATTTTTCTTTTTTCACCAAATCTTTAAGTGGCTAGCAGTGCAAACACATTTCCTCACTAGCCCATTTTGCAGATGAGAACACTGAATCCTAGAGAAAACCGCAAACTTCCTGTGATCAGAGAGAATGGGGCTGGGTGACAGATGCAAGTTCCATCCTCTCCTACAGAGCTGCAAAGCTTGAATGCCATAGAGCTCTGAGAAGTAGGCAGGGGTAAAGGGCCATGTTTGGAACCTCTAATCCCTGGAGTTCCAGACAGCCTCATTCCATTGCTTTGCAAGTCCCATGACAGGTCAACTGACCACTCACTATTCCTGGACCCATCCAGCATTCTTCTCCTACCTGGTAATCCAGCAGGCAGTGATCCTGGGAGGAACTAGGAAGTAAGCCACAGAAAATGAGGTTTAAACAGTGGGTGGCAGGCAGTCAGGCCACACTGGAGCCACTGTAAACCACAGCTTCCTCTCGATGGTCTGTCTCCACAGGTCTCCCCAGTACTGCGAGACTTCCTGGAGCGGATGCTGGTGCGAGAACCCCAAGAGAGAGCCACAGCCCAGGAGCTCCTGGATCACCCCTTTCTGCTGCAGACAGGGCTGCCCGAGTGCTTGGTGCCTCTGATCCAGCTCTACCGCAAGCAGACCTCTACCTGCTGAGCCCACACCCAGGGTGCACCTACCGCCTGTGCCGACAGGCAGGGGACAATGGGCAGCAGCCCTCTGGCAGGGCCTACCTGCCTAGTTCTCTCAGTATTCTCTCCAAAGATTGAATGTGAAATTCTACCCCTACCTTCTTGCCCTTTTGCCCACTGGGCCAGGCCGGACCTGCCCCCTCAGTCTCTCTCCTTTCCCAGAGAGTCCCAGTTGCCTTTGGGATGACAACAGCCCCTTCTGCAGGATGGCCCTTTGTTATTTGCACAGGGATGTTTCTAAGAAACATGGAGAGTGGTGCTCCTGGCCACTGGCCAGCATAGCTGACAGGCTGCTGCATTTTTAAAGGCAGTTGTTCACTAGTGTCCTGGGCCACCACATGGCCCATCTTCACATGGATACTTGCTATTCACTTCAAACCTTGGAGTCCCAGAGGGTCATGGGGAAGGGTTTTATTGCCTTCTTCCTCCCTTGGTCTGACTTCCTGAAGCCTCACCTGCACCTGTTTCCTGTCCCCTGGCACAGCCTGTCCCCAGAAAGCCTTCACAGAACTGTGAATTGCCTGTGCATAGGCTGTGGGAGCAGCAAGGGGATATTCTGAATAAGAGAGTGGGGTTGGTAAGAAGTGGCCCCACTTTCCTGGCTAGAGAGAATATCGTGTGAGAGTGTGTGTGTGTGTATGCGCACACGCGTATAAGTCAGGAAGGTCACGCAAGGTCCTTTTAGTTAACCACAATGAGCTTCGGAAGGCCTGCTCACCCCATCCTCTCTTCTGCCAAGCTCCACTCTGAAGGGACCTGCTTTCTTGGCCTGGCTTTCTGCCTCTCAAGTCTCATGTTTCTACCCAAACAGTGAAGAGGTGTGTGTGTGTGTGTGTGTGTGTGTGTGTGTGTGTGTGTGGTCTTAACACATGCAGGGGGCTCTTTAAGTTTCTGAGTTTCTCCCATACTGAGACAGGAAAAGTAAGGGGCTAATTTTGTTTTACTTGTCAGCAACTTCTCAGTAGCCAGATCATCAGGGACCCTCCTCTTCAGACCCTTGAACTGGGACAGAAGGTGAACCACCTCCTGGGGGTCCCTCATGCCAAGGGGATGGGCACCTCCTTTGTGTGAAACTGATGGCCCAGCTGCCTCCACAGATACCTGCCTCCTTATCTGTCCTCCCTCCCTCCCTCCCTCCCTCCCTGGCTGTTGTGAGACAGGGAATGCCAGGGAAGAACTCCAGCATCTGGACCCTATCCAGATAATATTTTTAAATTCCTCTGCTCCCTCATGGCCTGCATTAGGGCAAAGAAATTGCAAGGTCTTTTTGTAAGGGTCAGAGTTTTAAAAACAAAAGCATCTTCCCTTGAAAATTTTGTGAATTGTTTGCACTTGTGCCTGTTTTAAATTAAACTGAATGTTCAAACCTCCAGCCTTTCTATTCTCTGGGATTGGAGCCAGGCTATCTTGGAGCTGGATGCCCTGGAGTGGGTACCTGATGTGCTCCCCAGTGGTCACTTATGTCCACAGAACACCCAACTTCTCTGGTGATGTGTGTGCCTGGAATCAGGGCAGAGAAGGAAGGAAATGGGAAGAGAAAGGCTCTTGGAACTGAAGCAGAGGAAAAATAGGGCTCTGTCCAGGGCTGTGCCTGCTGAGCCACAAGGGCTCTGGCAGGGCATGTCCAAAGGACTCATGACCACTTTCTTCATTGGCTTCTCCCTTTCCCTGCTTCACACATCCTGGTCCTCAGGCTGTCCACAGAAGGTGGCCTGAAGCTACTACAGTGAGAAAGCAGACCCTGGTCATTTCTCAGAATTGAAGCCATCAGGGTAGAATTTGTGAAAAGCAGAGAAGTGGCTGGCTGGAAACCAAGAAACCTGGGTTCTAGTCCTGGGTTTGGGAGGTGGGTAAAATTACCTTTCACTTTCAGCTCTGCCACTGATTCCAGTCCTCCATTCCTGAGATCTACGCCCAACCTAGGGTTCACTGAAACCTCTTAGCAAGGAGCTACACAAACCACCTGCTCCCCACAGGTTCATACCTAGGCCCCAACCCCAGCCCCAATAGTTCAGTCAGAAGCAGCCCCTGTACCTCTACCTTTAGCCTCCAGTCACAGTAGGCTGGCTAGCGAGAGGCTGATGAAGGTAGGAAGCGCCTCGTAAACCATATGTATCCTTCCCATCTTTCCAAAGGGAGTGAGTAGGAAGGCAGGAAAGAAAGGCCAGTTCTCAGAATGGAATAATACTGGGTTTATTAACTACTCGAGTTCCACTAGTCCTTCCACCACATAGCACAGCTCCCAAAGTGTCATGTCTTTTAGCCACCCATTCCAACCAGTACTGAGCTCCAGTGGCCTGAGTGACTCTCCACAACAACAACAGCAACAATAATATGAAAAGCAGAATACCTGGCAGCCTTTTCTACAGTGGGGAAAGCTAGAGAGGGCCCCAGCCTCAATGCCAGAGGCTGACACTGAGACAAGTTTGGGGAGTGTAGTGTGGGGTTCTGCACAGAGCCTAAGGAGTCTGTCAGGACAGTAAGGCAGCACACAACTCAGTTTAAACGGGAAAGATCTGCGGTGTCTTAGAAACATCACTTTCAACCACCAGGCTTTGGGCCACTCCACAGAGAGGAGTGGTTGTTTGCCCAACACAGAGAAGCCAAGGTGACATTCACCCTGAAAACCAAGTCAGTGGCACTGAAAAGATGACAGCACCTCTGATACAGTGTGTGAGCCAAACTTCATGCTGCTTGTAAGCCAAAATACTTGTATTCTTACACCATTAAAAACTTCATTAAAATTAAACACGGTTGAAAAGGGTTACGGTAAGTAAGCAAGCAAGGGTCAGAAAGAAGCAGTATGCACTTGATGTATCCCACCCCTGACCTCTGACCTCAGACGCTCTGGCATTGTTCAACTGCCACTCAGGGGTCTGAGTGGGGCAGATGTGCGTGTGTGTTGGGGTGAGGGGAGAGATCACCTCAGAAAGGAAATCAGCTGTCATAAGGAAGCAAGGTATATGGGCAGGCGCCAAGGCTTGGAAACCATAAGGAGGGTTTGGCAACTCCAGCTGTTCTGAAGAGAGCAGGAGTCTTCAGACACTTAGCCTTAAACTTGAAGATGGCATGGGGTTCTTGTGAAGGGTCTGGGCACTGCTACACCCAGTGTTGATTTTTCTTGCTTATTATTTCTCACTTCATTGAAGTGACTTCAAGTACCAGGATTTTAAATTCTACAAGAGGAAGACGATGGTTCCATGGGTAAATGCACAGAGGGGGAAGTGTAGAGTGGTGACCTTGAACAAAAAATCGGAGTCTGAGCTCTGAGCCTGGAAGCCAGAGGAGAGCGCAGAGCTGCCACCAGAGGGCACCAAGGATCACAGTCGAAAGTATGGGCCCGCGCGGCCTCAGAGATGGGGTGGGGGTACTGGGGAAGTGTCTGACCCCTGCAAAAGCCGGCTTCTGTCTCCAAACCCTCGCGCCCAGGCGCAGTTTCTAGGCACGCTCATTCTCGCTTTGGGCAGTTCACTTAGCTGCTGGTAAGACTCCTTCCACAAAGACAATATACATCAACGTCTTGCAAAGACTGCAGGCGGGCCAGGTGCTGCAAGCTTACCTCTTGGGGTTCACAAAAAGAACCCCGAGGTGCTGCAACCCCCAGAAAACCTTCACTGCCTTGAAAAAGGTTTTTACCCCATCCTGCGGGTACAGCTCTCCGCGGGAGCTCGCACTGACACTGGGTCCCAGAGCATGCGTCCTGTCTAACCCTCTCTTCGCCCCCTCGAGAGGCGGGTCCAGAGTTGGAGTGCAGGGGCTGAGAGCAGAGGACAAAGGACTTGGCCACGAAAGGGCCTAACTACCTCTCCTCGGTTGCCTCTGACTCACTAATCTGCCCAGTAACAAAAGCTGGAAGCTGGGCCAGGCCAGCGTCCCACGCGGTGGGGCAGAGGCAGGGGTCCTTGGTCTCGACCTCTAGCATCCATCATCGGCCCTGCCCTCCATTAACGGCCCAGCAAGAAGCAGGAGACATTTAACAGCCCCCTCCCAGCTCTCTCTGGAGTTTGATGTAATTTCAACCCGGACCTGCGGTTCGTGTGGGCTCCCGACTCCCGCGCGCCGCCGTTTAACGTCGCAAACACTTCAGTCAATTATCCCCCTCGCGGAGGTTCTATTTAAAGAGATATTGTCAGGCTCTTAAGCCTCGGATCAGACCTGCTGCTTTCTGCCTCATATTCAAAGACTCAAAACACGAGTTCTTTGAGGATTGGAAGAAATACAATTAAGCAAAGCCTTCTCAAAATGTTCCACCCTCCAGGAGCACCCACGTGCAGAACAGAGGAGCTGGGAGGCGGTGGGGGCGGGGAAGTGCTAAGTCCTTTCCATTTCAGTCCTCTGGGATTGAGTGGAAATATGTGGCTGGGCCAGATGAGTGAGGCACTGAATCTCAAAGATGGAATTCAAAAGCAAGGACGCTGAGGGGCCAACTGACCCAGGAGTTGCTAGAGGGGTTTGGGGGAGCAGTGACCCCACAATGTCAACGAAGCTGAATCCTGGCTCTGCCTGAGACAGAGGCAGAGGGAGTTTATTACCCAGAAGGGACAACTGGTGGCCAACACCTAGAAACGGTAGAAGTCCCCAAATATTTTCATTGTCTTGAAGCAGGAGGTTCTACCTCAGAAAAACTTAACAGGATGCTTCCCTAACCAGCCCTCTTGCTCAGAAAGCTTCTGGGGGGTCTTCATTCCTCCCTTTGTCTAACACTTACAGGGAAGGGAGACTTTGGTAGTTTGTCAAAATATTATTGTCAGCCTCAGTAGGCACAGCAGTCTGGGCCTTTGTTCTCCGAGGCTAGCTCTGCTCAGTTGCCTGGCTGCTCAAGGTGATGGGAAACAGAAAAGGGAAGGTGATCTGATAGGAGCCCAGGCAGAACCAGGACAGCTAACCCCTTAAGGCTGGGGCTGGGGATCCACCTTTCTGTTTAAAAAGGTGTAACCTACACAATCTACCCTCCACACCTCTTTTTCCAAGACAACAAGTCAGGTGGTGGGAAGGTGAGAGTTACACGGGGAATACCAAACAGCACACACACAAAAAAGGATAGGGGTCCCTTTCTTACACCTGGTGGAGGACTGGTGGAGGTCTCCCTTTGGTAGTGGGGACAGGTTCTAAAATGGGGGCGGTAGGCAGGGGAGATTGCTGAAGAAAGTGAGGGGCCTGGAAGGAAAGGAGAGGTCTCTCTCAGTGGACTAGAGACAGGAGGGCAGGGGTTGCAGGGCTCGGCCGGCCTACTACGTGCTCTTTACCGCTGAGCCTGCAGTACCACAGCCTCTGTGCCCGCCTGCCAAGGCTTTGGCCCAGGCACTGAGAAAGGCAGAGCGTTGTTCTCTAACTCCGGACCACTCTCGGGCCCTGGAGCCTCCCCGACCAGGCTGGGGATATCTGGGGCTGTGGAACGTCGGCGCAAACCCAGGCGGCCAGAACCGGGGCCACCCTCGGGGTGAGGACTAAGGCCGATAGGGGTTTGCACTAGGGTTGGGGGTGCTCCCTCCAGCACCTCCTGTGAGCGCCACCGCCCACTCCCCGAAGACTGGGGTGAGTTTGGTCGGGCCATCAGAGCTCCTGCCCGTAGGCGTGCTGTCTCCTCTTCGGTCATGGTACCCAGCGCTAGGCTCATGCTCCTGCCCAACTCAGGCCGCTCGCCGCCTTGTGCCCGGTGACGGCCCGAGCCCTTGCCAGCAGAGGCCGGCTCGCCTCCATGGCCATGACCGTGGCCGTGGCCGCCCGCAGCTCGTGCGAAGCGTGCCAGCAGAGGCCGCGGTAGACGCCGGGGACTTGGTCGTCGACGCTCTGGGCTAGGCACCTGGGCCGGGCGGCCAGGGGGGCTGTCAGAGTTGGAGCCCCGAGCAGCCGCTGCGGCAGCTGCGCGGCCCCAAGGCCCAGTGAGGGCTTGCACACAGGTCCCGTGGCCGCGGGAGGCGGCCAGTTGCAGCGCGGTGAGGCCCGCACGATTGGTGCGGTCAAGGCGCAAGCCCAGGCGACGGAAAGAGCGCACCAGGAACTCCAACACCGCTCCGTGGCCGCACGCCGCGGCCCACATCACCGGGCTGTTGCCCGCCGAGTCCGCGGCCTCCGGGTCACCGCTGAACTGCACTAGCAGCTGCACGGCGTCCAGGTGGCCTCGCTCGCACGCCAGGCTGAGCGCCGTGCGGCCGCGCTCGTCCCGCAGGTTCACGGCCGCGCCCTGCTCGAGCAGCAGCCGCACGAAGCGCGAGCGCATCGCAGGGTCCGGCAGCCCCACAGCCACCATGAGCGGCGTGCGGCCCTGCTCTGCGCGGCAGTCGATGATACTGCGGTCCAGCGCGTCCAGCACGAAGCGCGCCAAGTGCACTTTGCCCGCCTGCATGGCCTCCAGGAAGGTGCGCGTCCCCGCTCGGGGACACAGGTCCTTGGGCTTGAGCATGGCTCTGGCCGCCGCGTCTGGGCGGCCCGACAGCTCCGCACGGGGGCGCCCCTGTTCCCGCACCCCACCGGGCAGCTGCCCCGGCCGGGCTCCGGTACCGCTCCTTCCGCGCGTGGGTGGCTGTGGCCAAGGATCCTACTCGGGTCGTCCCGCGGCTCTGGCTGCCGTGTTGCTCCCCGCTGGGCGTCCCTCTGCTGCCTCCGGGCTTCCCGCCTGGAGGTGTGGGTTGCTTGCTACCCCGGGCTCCTGCTCCCGTCGGCTACTCGACCTCAGCAGCTCAAGCTCAGCCTCCTCAATTCTCCGGCGATTTTCCCGGTGTCCGATGCCCCTCAGTCCCCTGTGGCTTGGAGCAGCGCCACTCACCGGCACCCGGGGTAGCCCCGGCTTCCCTGCTGAGCGGGTGGCGCCCGCCTTGCACTCTTGCCTCCAGCCCTGGCGGGGCGCGCGGCTCCTCCAGCTCCCGGCGCCTTTCCCCGCCTCCTCCTCTCTTGCGGGGGCCGGGCCACGCCGGGGCGCTTGCTTTTTACTTGGGGGGCTCAGCGGCGCGTAAGGTGCCCTCCGCCTGGATACCTGGCTTTATAGCATCCAGGGTCTCCATGGCAATGGCTGCCCTGGAAGCCGGCTTCGCAGTCACAGCAGAGACGGACTAGGCAAGGGAGACCGCCCCTGACCCCCACCCCTTGGTAGGCCACCAAGTTGGGGAACGGCTCCTCCTCCGCGCTCCCCTGGGAATGCGGGCGGCGGTTGCGGCGCGGGGGCGGGGGCTGCTCGCCGGGGGCCACATGCACCCGGCCGGGCCAATCCTAAAGTCGCAGTCTTCTCTCCCCGCCCTCCGCCTCCACTTGAGTCGGTACCCTTGGCTGCTTAGAAACTGGCGGGACCGCAGGCTCAGGGTGGGTGGGGGAGGGCGGAGACACTGGGAGTTGCTTCCATCCGCCCTGGACCGTGCTGCAGCTGGAGGCGGCGGCGAGGAGGACTACTTTGGGGTATAAGGTACTTATGCTTCGGACTGGGAGCTCTCAGTCTGGCTGGCAACTGGCACCCTAAGTGCAGCGCATCACAGTCACACACAATTGCGCCTCCCGCACTCGCTCACTCAGAACCGGAAGGGGGTGCGCTCTTTCCTCTCAGCCAGCTCCAAACTTGATAGTGCGCTCGCGTTCCAGTGCCTCTGTCGCTGCGGAGCAGGCTGCTAGATGCTGGGCCTGGGCGACCCAGGGCAGTTTTAGAACCTGACAGTCCTGCTAGCGTTAGGACTCTTGGACACTACCACCTAACTCCTCCAGGATTGGTTACCACCCAGACGCAAAGCAAGAATTCCCCACAGGACTGGGCTCTGTGGGAGATACAAAACCACCTCCAGGTCATAGGCTGTAGGCCAGACCTTAGCTGACCCCTAAAGAAAGGTAAGCATCTGAGCTCCATTTTTTATCAAATGTGTGGAAAACCCACTCAATCTCTCTCTTTGGGGACCAGCTGCTTGACCCTGGGGAGGTGAGATAGGCTGCAAGCCTCAGTTGAGAAGTGAGGGCCTCAGAACCCCTCAAGTGCTGAGGGGTGAGGTATAGCTGGAATGGAATTTATTTGTAGAGTTGAAAGTGAGGGATTGAGAATGTAGCTGTGCTGGTAGAGTACTTGCCAGCCCTAAGTTCAGTTCCCAACACTACATACAACCAGGTGTGGTGCTGCACACATGTAATCCCAGAAATTGGGAGGGGGAGGCAGGAGGATCAGAAGTTCAGTCATCCTCAGCTACATAGTGAGTTTGAGGCCATCCTGGGCTACATGAAGCCCTGTCTCAGGAGAAAAATAAAAAAGCAAATATCTGAATCAATTACTGAATTTACTGAGGCATCATGAGCCTGTTGTTGTATTCCCACAGAGACAGAAAGTGGATTCTGGATGAAAGAGATTTACCCTCAGTGAAGAAGACAAAATCAGAATATAACAAGTGGGATTTGTCACCTAAGGATTGAATACATCTGCTAAATACAAAACTCTGACAATTAGTGGAGGGAAAGGGGGAGTGATGTTAGAAGACTCTGGTATCTTCTGAAGATAGAAACTGAATTGATCTTTTTTAAGGGTAAGTGAGGTTGGGTTGCTAAGAAATTGGAAGACATTCCAGATAGAGGGGTTGCAGAAGCAAAGGCATCCAATAGGAACAACACCTGTAAGGAATGGCGTTGAGTGTTGGATTCAGGGCTCCTACGTCGGGAGAGACAAGAAATTCAGAAAGAATTAGGGTGTCCTCAGTCTGAGCAGAGATGCAAGATGCTCTTGGCAAGAGATTCCTGGGGTTGGAATGAGGTGAAGAGGGCTCTTGCTGCTGGAATGAGGAAGTGGACCGAAGAGCCTCTATGCTTTCTGAAACTCCCAGGCCCCAGGGATGGATGTCCACCATGAATTTAGGGTGGGCCCTGTAACAGGGACTCACACCTCCCTCTATCCTGAGAGGAGCACATATAACTACACAGTCTGTGAAGTGCTCCCCCCCCCCCATTTCTCACTTTTTGTATTTTTAGAAGCCCTTGACCAGGGCACAGTATTTCACATGAGATTGTCATATACTAGCCATGTGGTCCCAGGAGAGCATATTCCCATCTGTAAAAGGAAGCAGAGACTACCAGCCGAGGCTGCCCCACATAAGATCAGAAGTGTCAAAGTGTCAGAGAAAGAGCAGCATCATTATTTAGAGGGGAGCCCTCAAAACCTGTCCCACCTGAGACCAGGTGACACATTTCATCCCTAGGCAGGGAACAGGAATGTTCTCTTCTTTACTCAGCAGGAGAAAGGCTTTCCTCCCTTTAGGACTCAAATTTCCCTTCTGTAGCATGACAGTAAATGTCTTCTTCCTTTCTGTCTGCCTTCAGGATCAGGAGAAAGGTTAGGCTAAGTACCCCCAGGTAAAGAAGAAAAACAACAGAAACCCAGGCTAGGGGTGGTTGGCCAAGCCTCTTCTCCCAGAGCCTCCCTGAACCAACTCAGCTTCATTTATGCCCCTGTTCCCTGTGGTGGATGGAGACAATTTGAGGGGGAGAAAAAAGCATTGGGCCAGTTTCCTTCAGAGCCTCATTCTGATCTGTGCTGAGTCCCCAGATGGGAGGAGATGCCAGGTCCCTGGCCCTGGGGCCTTTGCTCTGACTTCCTTCCTTGGGCTCACTATGTTCTGAACAGAAAAGAAATAGCAAAGCTGAAAAAAGCTGAGACTTTGCTGCAGAGCACAGAGGCACCAACAGCCGGAATTAGAAGCTGTCGCTTAGGGAGCTGAAGGCTGACAGGAGAAGGAGAGATGCAGGCAGGGGGCAGGCAGTCACTTCACACTCCTCCCCTCCCACCTGCCCAGCTTCTCCTGCGGGCCCCAGGCTGGCAAAAGGGCTTCCTCCCAGAGGCGCCTCAGTAGGCAAGTCTGTCACTCTGTCTGCAACTGCCTCCCTGAAGCCCCCCTTTCTTCCTCAAGTGTCACCAGCCCCCTCACCCTGTCACATTGCACTAGCTTGTCGGGGTTGGGCCTAGTGGCACGTGCCTGTGCCTGGGAGCTGCAGGGAGCTGGGGGGGGGGTGCAGGGGCGGGTGAGTCAGCAGGGGATCTGGCACTGAGTCAGCGATGGGACTGGAAAGAGGTAAAGACCCTTCTTTGTGCTAAAGGTGAAATGGAAATGAGTGGAAAGAGAACCTGGCCCTGGTCCCAGAGCATAGCAGGGATGGAACACAGGTGTCCTTCACCTGCCCAGTGCCCAATCCCCAAGGGAGAGTGTCAACTCTTCCTCTGCACTTCCCCTGTAGACAGAGATTAACATCTCCAGGGCCTAAAGATGGTGTTTGCCCAGGGGGAGACCTGGCCCTTTGGCATGGGACTGAAAGTGGGGATGTGGATATCCAGGCTGCTTCTTGAGAAGCCATCAGAGGCCCCTTCAGGAGGCAGGGTTGCATCTCCTTTGCATTCCCTGGCTGCCCAGCTCTGTTCTGGAGCACAGACTCTGCCTGGTCTGGCAAGAGGAGAGCTGAAGGCAGCTTCCCCTTGCCTTGTACATTCATTGGCACTGACTGTGGCTACTGCCCGATGGGTTGCACTGGCTCTGGCTCAGGCTTATGCCCACATACCTGGTTCAGAGAATTCCTCTAGGCCTGGATGCTCACCCCCAGGGAGGTGTGGGGGGAGAAATGGGACTCCTGGCAGTGGACTGAGGTCAGGGCACTGCCCTGGAATGTAAATGCCCCACCCTTGTGGTCTCCAGTATGGCTGACAAATGCCAGGCTTTGGTTGTTGAATGAGCAAGCCCTAGCTTGACCCGGTGGCCAGGGACTATAGGACCCCTGAGGTCAGGCCCTGGGAGGGATGGGGGAGGGTGTCCCTGTTTATTTTTCAAAGACACAGGTGCTCACAGCTAATGGCATCTGTTGTAACTCTTTGGTAGAAAACAACCTCTTCCCAGAATCACCCCACCCTGCTTGCCCCATTTGGGACTTGGAACTGAGCAGTGGTGAATGGCTATCTATTAGCCCCGCCTACAGCAAGTGTTGGAATTAACCACAGCCTCAGCAGGTCCCTGTGCATCTGGTCACTCTCAGTCGTCCCAAAGAGATCAAGATAACCTAAAGTTTGGGGTCGCCAAGAGGGTGGGTTGTAACTTTGTACTAGGCTCTTCTGCTCCAGCCCTGAGGGTGGAGACAAGAAAGGACCATGTGGCGCAGGGGGTAGCGGGGGCGGGGGAGAAGAATGGATGACATCATTTTCCAGTGGCTCTTGGCATCAGGGCCAAGAGACAGGGCCATTCACAAAGCCCCAGAAGGGACCTCACCCTGCATTCAGCTCCCAAGGGAATTGCCCCCCCCCCACCCAAGGCAGCTTCATCTTTGAGGCATTCCACTCCCCTGTAGTCTTTTCCTAACTAGAATAGAGACCAGGCTAGGCAGGAAATGCTGTGTTAGGGTTTTTTAGTAAGAGCAGGAAGGAGAAAAATAAATAAACCACATAAATCCATGAGTGTAAATGACACTGACCTTTTTAAGCAACCCAGGTAGGGCACCTGCTAGGAAGTACCCAGCCCAGACCCAGAAAAAAAAAATGGTGAACCAGGTTCAGGGTAGAAAATCATCCAAGAAGCCACAGTGTCCTTTCAGCACCAGACACAGCCCCATATGTGTCAGCAGCTGAGGGACAGTCAGTGAGGAAGCTTTTCCATGCAGTCGCCTGTCCCTCCAGGCAGAAGGTGAGGGCAGGGGCCTCAGCTGACATTCTGGGGGTAGCCATCACCAGAGAACTTTGAGACAGTGCCAGGTTCTGCCTTAAGGTGCTGGCAACACTGCACTCAGTTGTGGCCTAGAAGTCCATGTGAGGTGCCACATCAGGAGGGTTTGAGTTTGGTCCTGCTTGAGTGGTAGGTACAAAAGTGAAGGTTCCAGGGAGCAGGTGCAAGCCTCCAAGAAAGGCACTGGGCTCCAAGTGGGGTACCACTATTTACATACTAGGAAAGGCAGAGGGACCAAAACCCAATTTTCCACCTCCCAATCAATATTCTTTTGACTTCAATGACTATATGATACTTATCCAGAGGCGGGAGAAGGATGGGGAGCAGGAAATTAGCTTGGTGAAGACTCTTGGGTCCAAGGTCCATAGTCTCCCATTCCTGCCTTTACCTGGCTGAGAAGGGGGCTGCAGCATCCAAGGGCCCCTCAGCTTCCCACAGCCTCAGCCTCAGGGTCCTTTTCTTCTGGGGAATGCAGCCATGTCCCAGAGAAGGGTCTGAACATCCTTGTTAAAGTGTCCCAGGGAGATGGGGGCATCAGAGGCGGCTCTCCTGGGTGTCTGCCTTGTCTGTGAGTGGATCCTGCCAGCACAACTCTCTGGAGGTATCACAGGTCCTGTCAGACTTGTCCTGTACCTCAGAAGGGAAGCAGGTCCTGAAACAGGCCTTCACCGACTCCTTCACCTCAGTCTCTAGGCCCTTCATCCTGGCTTCATACTCAGCCAGAGCCTCCTGCTGGAACTGTAGGGGCAACAAGGACCACAGCTTGGGTTAGGAAGGGGCCCCACCCACCATCCCAACCCTGGACTATGGGATACAGATATGCCCAAGCTATTCAGAGTTCCAAGGAGACTGGAGTGAGAGGTGGCTGAGGGGAGGGTCTGGGGTGGGGGTCAGGGTGGGTAGGGGATAGTGAGACCCATCAAAGAATCTCCCAAGAAAGGGATCAAGAGATCTTTGAGATGCCTCATTTGAAAAGCCCTTAGGTCCCCATGAGAACCAACCTATGACCTACTGATGACATGTGATGTGCCCCTTCACTGATCTCCTACCTGGCAGCCCCTGGAGAAGGGCCCCTTTCCCACCCTGGAGCCCATTCATCTCCATTGGGGCCAGAGAGATCTCACCTGCTTTTCCATCTCTCGGATCTGCTTCAGGCAGGCTGCCTGCTTCTCTTCCAGCTTTTCCTGGTGTCGTTCCAGTGTCTCTGTCATCTGGGTGGGAGTGAGAAACAGGGAATCAGAGTGGTACAGCAAGCAACCCAGGGTTGGAATCTAGCTCTAATCCCAGCTAACCAGCAGTAAAACTTGGGACAAATTCCTTAACCTTTGGGCAAATTTTGCAATTTGTAAAATGAGATAATAGTTCCTGACTCAAGGGATTGTGAAGGATTACATGAGACGGTTCATGTGAAGCACCTGGCATGGTGCCTAGCACAAAGTCAGGTAACAGTAGATGGAAGGCTTATTACTGGGGCCAGCAATCCCTGGGGGAGGAACTGTGGGTCCCGTCTCAGCAGGGCTTTCCTTCCTCTTTCCACTCCAAGACACCTCATACAGTCTTCCTCACCTACCCTATCCAATACCATCCTTCTGTGGCCAGCTAACTCATATTTCCCAGACAGTTCCCTACATACTGGCACCCCAGCCTCTGTATACAGCTAGAATCTCTGGATACTCCCTCCCATACCTAGCTGCATGGACATTTCTGGACAGCATGCTCTGAAGGCTCAAAGGAAAGACACCCTCCTTCCCACTTACAGAGTGTTTGGGGGACACAGCCCCTGCTTACCTGCTTGACAGCCTGCACCACTTCCTGAATGTGGGAGTTGTTAATCTCTCTCTTCAGCCTGTTGATATTATTGGAGGTTTAGAAAGGGGCCTTCCTGGGGGGCAGGGTCGATGAACTATCCTGAGGGTACAGGCAAATGAGAACTCCATCATAGGGGCAGGAATCAGCAGAGGGACCAACATGGAAAATGGAGAGGACCCCTGGAGTCCTGGAGCCCGCTTCCTCCTCCCCCTCCTCCTTCTTCCTCTCTCTCTCTCTCTCTCTCTCTCTCTCTCTCTCTCTCTCTCTCTCTCTCTCTCTCTCCCTCTCTCTCCCTCTCTCCCTCTCTGTCTTTTTGAGACAGTTTCCCTGTAGCCCCAGCTGATCTGGAACTCATTATGTGGACCAAGCTGGCCTTGAGTTCACAGAGATCAGCCTGCCTCTGCCTACTTAGTGCTGTGATTAAAGGCATGGGCCAGCTTTGCTTCCTCTCTTAAACACAATGATTTAAAGGCATCCAGGAGGAGCAAGGGGGTAGGGGGAACACAGCCATGGAACACAGCCACCTGAGCTGCTGTCACCAGGCTTCATCTCCCTCTGCATGCTTGGTTTTCCCTCCATGGCTCCTCTCTGTTCAAGTGGTGGTAGCACCTGAGTTTTGCTCATGGAAGACTTTCTGATTAGAGATACAGCAGTGGGATCAACTTTTTGAGGTGGAGAGGTAGATCCCTGGGAAGGAAGTCAGGGTCCCTTATAGGGTGACTCTCCCCTCTTCCAACTGGAGTGGGGTCTGCTCAGCTGGGCCTCCCCTCCAGGGCTCACCTTTCCTGGGCCACCTTGTCTGTGGTGACTTTGGTCATGGCCTGAATCCGCTCCAACCTCTTAGCCTCCAGTTTTTTCTTCATTTCTTTGGTGTCACTGCAGGGAGACAGGCAAAAGGAGATGTTTTGTGGGGTGGGGCGCCTTTTCTGGACTGCAGAGATAGGCATGTTAGGGAGGTGACCCTACATTTCTGAGGTCTCCTTGAAGGTCTTGAGCTCTGCAGACTGTTTCTCTCTGGCTACCTCCATCATCTTGGCGGTTTGCTGTGGTAGAGGAAGGATGGGCTTAGTAAGAGGTCTTTGGGCTCACAGAAGCGGGCAGAGTGGTTGGCTGGTGTTCTGTCTACACCTCGGCTACATGCTGCTCCTTGCGCTTGAGAATACTCCGGTGCTGCTCCTCCCAGTGCTGCTGTAACTCCTGTTCCAGCCTGTCCTTCAACTCCCGCAGCCGTGAGTCCGTCCCCTCGGGGAACTCGCCCATTGCAGCTGCAGTGGGCTCCTCGCAGGGCAAGGTTCTGCGGAAGCCACGTGCAGACAGGCTGTGAGCTTGAGGCCAGTACTCAGGGAGGGGGTGGCAACCGTGAGGCCCTTACCTCTTCTTGCGGGAGCCCTTGCCTGGGCGAAGCTTGCAGCCCGTGCCTGGCGGCCCGAGCTCGGCCAGCTGTGCCGCACCTCGCTGCAGCAGTTCCTCCCGGCGCCGGGCTCCCCGCCGCTCCAGCTCCCGAAGCTCCTTCTCATGCCGCCTCTGCAGCTTCACCACCCCCTTCATCTCCCGCAGCTCCTCCAGACTGGCGGTCTGTGGCTCTGCAGAGGCCCGGCTGAGGCGCCAGGCCACGCAAATTGCCCTTCCCACACTGCGGAACCCCTAGGAGTCCGAGGCCCTTCCCCAGATCCTGTTCCAAGATCACAGAGCTCTGCAGGCCTTACCTGCCACTTCTTTCCGGGCTTCCTCCTTGGCTTTGGTTCCAGGTGCTGCAAGAGCAGAGGATGGACCATCAGATGCCCTGTAGGAGCCTCAGCTTGACTCCTCTAGGCTCCAAGAGGGTCGTAATTTGAATCCCCTGCAGCTAGCATCTTCCTAGCCTTGAGGCTTCCAACCCAGCTCTTCTCTCTCCAAGTGAAAGTGTTAGTTTTTGGGGACTATGGTGCAGCAGACTAGGTGGAGACCCATTCATTAGGCAGGGAGCGCCAGAGGTACTTACCTGCTGACCCGTTGCCTGCTGGGACAGATGACCCATTGGCCTGGCTGGTAGCAGGACTCCCCAATGGGAAGGGCTTCTGAAGTGTGAGGAAAGCAGGTTAGAAACGCAGCTCTAACAACCCCTGAGCAGAGGACTCTGCTCTTCCAGGCTCTGCACCTCCCACAAGAGGCCAAAGCTCCTGAAGGTCTTTGGCAGTGGTCCCAGGCAACACAGACCTCAAGCAGACTTCCTGTGGCCTCCTTGAGCTTCACAGATTTCTTATCATGAGCACTGAAGTATTTGATGGGGTTGGCGAGAGCCACAGTGAGATCTGGGAGCATAGGACATGACCAGTTTGGTATGTAGGGGGGTGGACCTGGAAGGGTCCCTTCCTGTCCCACCCCAGAGACTGATTTGATGAAGGGAAAAGGGAATGGATAGCCTGGGGCCCTGGGATGGCACAGGCCCCCTACCTGCCCAGGTGTCAGGTATATAGTCCTTCATCTCCAGGAAGACGAAGAGTGCAGGCATAGTGAGGGGTATGTTGCTCTCACTACGCAGGCATAGGTGGTGGTATCCTATTGAATGCGATGAGGTAGATGGTGAGTCAGAGCCCATTCCCACCCAACACTATATATAAACAACCCAGCACTTAAGACTTCCAGCTCTGGAGTCAAAGACCAGGGTCTATGTCTACTACTGTACTTCCTTACTGTGTGGCCTTGGGTAAAAGATTAGGTTAACTCTCTGAGACTTGCCACATCTGTCTGCTTTTGTGTGGCTATTGTGAGAATGTGTTTTATAAGCCCCTCACACATTTTTGTTACATGTTTATTGTGTGTGTGCATGGGTGGGGTGAACATGCAGAAGTCAGAGAACAACTTGTGGAAGTTGGTCCTCTCTCCTTTTACCATGTGGGTCCCTGGGTGCAAATTCAGGTCATTAGCCTTGACAGCAAGTACCTCTACTCGATGAGCCATCTTGCTGGCTCCTCTCACACTTTTTAAGTGCACATACATGTCAGCTGCTCAGGAATCTATAACAGTGGCTCCAGAAAATCCTGGGCATTCTGTTAGGTAAGCAGAGTTCCCACCCATCGGGTTCCTGGAGATTCTATTCCTGTCCCACTCCTTAAGGTTGATAACATGAGGGGATTAAGTGAGGCCTCAGAGACCCTACCTAAGGTCACCCCACCCTCTAGACAGGATGCTAGTTTTGGTATTAGACCCCTGCAAATGGTGAATAAGAACCCCTTTCCTTACCAGAATTTAGAGCATTAATGGGGATGATTCGGTGTCCAAGAAATTTGTTGCCTTCCTCCATCACAGCCACCCTGAGGGAGGCTAGCTCAGGCATCAAGATCTAGGGGGAGTTTGAGACAAGAGAAGTTGAGGAGAGGACAGGGGAGCTGAGCTGCCCCTCCCCCTGGCTCCAGAAGTCTAAGTGTCAGGGTGAGAACCTGGCAGGTATCACCAGGATTGGTACACAGGCAGAAGGCACAGCCTAGAGCACACACAAGCATCTCACAGCTTGTGCCAGGCTGGGCTCGCATGGGGAATAGGACTGGATGTGCAGCCTGGAACAGTGTGGCCCATGCAGAGAGCCCTTGGTAGCTTTGCCAATCAGAGTTGAATGGGACAAAGACCCTTACTATCCCGAGTCCTGGGTTGGGAGTTCACATTTCTGCCCCAGTCCTAACATGTATACATACACACACACACACTCTCTCTCTCTCTCTCTCTCTCTCTCTCTCTCTCTCTCTCACACACACACACACACACACACACACAAAACCTGCACACTCAGCACACCTCTGTATATTTGAGTTCTGACTTTCTACTCTGTGAATTTGAGTTCTGACTTTCTGGACTTCTGAAATGCAGAAAGGCATAGATGAAGGGCAGAGAGAGAGGAAGGTTAAGGACACCCCCCACCCCCCACTTTCCTCTTATCTGTAAGCAGGGGCCAAGAACTAGGGACAGACACCCAATGCCTGGCCTATTCCTAGCCCCCCACCTTCTCAAAGACAAAGGGCTCCTCCTTCCAGACAGGATTGATGGAGTTAGTTGTAGGTGACAGTTTGGTGCGATAACGCCTCTTGGGGTCCCCTGGGAGACCAAACAGTTCCACTTCCACATAGGTGCGTACACTGCGTTCAGACAGGAACTGCCCAGAGATCACCTAGTGGTGGAACCCAGAGGAAGCCAGCATTAGATCGCCCATTCAAATTGGTTCTCAAGTCCCTGGTGCCTCTGACTCCTTAGGGCTGAGTATCTATCTATCTTGGGCATTGTGAAGAGCTCCTTTCAGCTCTTTTCAGGCTGTGTGGCTCAAGGTTTACAGCCAAGCTCCAGGGACCTGGGTGCTTCCAGCTTCCCCTTCAGGAAAGAGGTAGGCCATTCCTTTCCCACACAGGAAAGGAATAACACGTATCTTCCCCCTGGCCTGGGGCCTAGACCCCTGCTGCCCTGCTGGGCCCACTCCCTCTCCCCTCCCCCACCCAGCCTCAGCCCTTCCCCCTTGGTTTCCATAGGGACAAAGAGGCAGACTCCAGTTCTGAGGAGGAGGCAGTTTCCAAGGCAACTTGAAACTGCACAGAACTGGCTGGGGCTGAAGTCTTCAGGATATCAGGGAAGGGAGGTGGGGGGTGGGGGT